TAATCCAGAGGGAGAAGGAAATTCCGTCTCTTTTGTAGTAAGAGATTACATCGAGATTTCATGTGTATAATATTCTATACCAAATTGTTCTATAAGATTTCATCGAGGTCATATGTGTATAATATTCTGTACCCAATTGTTTATAAGATTACATGGAGATTTCACATGTGCATGGTATTCTGTACCAAATGCAATTTGCATCATTTATATTTATTGTTTATAAGGTAATACGTTGGTTGGTCAAAAAAAAAAAAATTAGGTAATGGGTTTATTTGGGGAAGTTTTACTTGGTTTCATTGTTTTTAACCGTCTCCTTACTTTATTTCCCAGATATTGTTTTCTATAAATGAGGTTTCTATGGTCTCTTAGATGCTTGTTGCTGGGCAAGCAAGAATATAATTTAGTAATGGGGTTCCGTTACCGAATTTCTCTTCTTCTTCTCTGCGTGCTTACATTTATCGGTTTTGACATTGCTGAATCTGCTAACTGCTACAACAACGGGAACTTCACTGTAAACAGTACGTATGGCAGGAACCGGGACCTCGCTCTCTCTTCTCTAGCCTCTAATACCTCAGAAAATGGTGGTTTCTACAATACCAGCGTCGGTGAAGATCCCAACAAAGTATATGCTCTAGCGCGTTGCAGGGGAGACTATTCTGCAAAGGATTGCTCCAGTTGTATCAATTCAACAATCCAAGATCTCATCACCAACTGTCCAAACCAAAAAGAAGCAATTTCCATGGGAGATTGTACGATACACTACGCAAATCGCTACATCTTCGGAATTCTTGAGCAATCCCCGCATTATGAATTCTATAATACAGGGAATCTCACAGTAAATTTGACACAGTTTGATCAGATTTGGGAGAGTTTAATGGATGGTTTAGTGAGAAATGCTTCTGCTGGAACTTCTAGGCTTAAGTTTGCCACAGGAGAAGCAAAGTTAACACCATTTCAAACAATTTATGCCCTTACGCAGTGCACTCCCGATTTATCTCAAAGTGATTGTGATTTCTGCTTGAGGCAATCCGTCCTTAATTTCGAAAATTGCTGCCATGGGAAGCAAGGAGGTGGTGTTCAGAAACCAAGCTGTTTTTTCCGGTGGGATTTGTATCCCTTCTATACCCCTCTTCCACCTCCACCTAGCGGTCCTCCTCCGGTTTCTAGCAGCCCTTCTCCGGTTTCAAATTCAAATAATACCACAACTGCAAAAGGTAAGTACATCTTTCCATGGAGAAATCGATGTTAGTCATATTGGGTAGAAGATAAAATATGATTGCAATCGCTTTGTGTAAAACATCAAAAGGAAGCATAACATAAAGCGCATATTAAGTACAAAAACATTTTTCTGGTTTTGCAGACAACAGACGAATTGCTACACAAACTCTTATAATCGTTGTTGTTGTTTCAACCATTGGCTTCATGGCAATTCTTGCCATTACTTGTTCCCTTCTCCGAAGGAGATGGAAGTCAAAGCAGGCAGTTAAGGGTGAGTGTTGTTTCATAGGTACAAGAAGAAAGCATATGGTGATTAATTAGGTTGTAGTTGTTGGCTTGGTAAAACAAAATTATAGTTAATGATTGACGAATAAAGTCACGACCTCATGGGATTTGTTCAGTGCTAACTCATTTTTTTCCCTATGAAGGTGTGAATGACAATGAAGGTGTGGATGACAGTATTAGTGCTGAGTCCTTGCGATTTGACTTGGGCACATTAAGGGTTGCCACTGATAACTTTTCTAGTGAGAACAATCTAGGACAAGGTGGATTTGGTGTTGTTTACAAGGTAACTCCACCTATTCTGTTATGTGTTTACTTTCTGCGCCTATAGTTTATAACCTAAAACAGTTTTTCTTTTGTTAATACCCTACAGTAGAGAAGTCTTCATTCTGTCATAGTGTCATTAGTTTAGTTTTCTAACTCGCTGAAGAGATGATGAATTCCATTTGATATTTTTAATTTTATCTTTTTACTTAAATATTGTTTTAACTTTCAGGGAAAGCTTCAGAATGAACAAGACATAGCTGTAAAGAGGCTTTCTAGAAATTCT